GAAGTTTTTTTTTTCTTTTTTCAAAAACGTGAAAGAGCTATGAAGCTAAGACTTAGAAACACTGTCTTTTTCTTTGAATCCAACTGTCCCTCAGATGATGAAACTGGCCTCGAGATGCAACACTTGTCACAACTGAGCACTCTCCCACTAGATCCTGCTCTCTCCTGTGTCAAAAAAAACATAAGCAACCTTGTCTGTCCCAGAAGGGGAACCGTATCCTCAAAACACTGTGCTTGGCAGAGGGGAGAGGCGGGGCCTGGTGGAAGACCCTGGTCTCAACTCCCAGCCTTGAAGGTTTTTCTTGATTTGGGGGAGTTTGGGGTCAAATCCAGCTCCACACTCAGAGATGCTAGGGTAACTGAGTGGTGCCAGGGATCAAACCCAAGCCTCCCCCATACAAAGTTTATGCTCAGCTTTTGGGCGCTCACTCCAGCCCACGCTGGTCTCTTGACTACGGGTCTCTAGTTTTGGTAAAGATCAGAAAGGCTCTAGCCACAGGTACATATTCCATCTGCCTCTTGCACGCTTGACCTGGGACTTAACTTTAATAGCCTCCACTGCAATTCGTGGATCACCTGTCAAGGCTAAACCTTAAAAATGCATCTGTTGGGGCTGGAATGATAGCACAGCAGATAGGGCGTTTGCCTTGCATGCGGCCAACCCAGGTTTGATTCCCAGCATCCCATATGGTCTCCTAAGTACTGCCAGGAGTAATTCCTGAGTGCAGAGCCAGGAGTAACCCCTGTACATCACCAGGTGTGATCCAAAAACAGCAAAAAAAAAAAAAAAAAAAAAAGGCATGTGTTTCCAAACTCAGTCTCATCGACCAGATCTCAAAAGTTAAAGATATCACAAGATATCACACACAGAATTTCTCCTCTCCTCTTCTTGCTACTGGCATCCAGCCTATCACACCAGCGATTTCTGGAGACTGTACTAAATATTCTAGTAAAGCAAGAAAGTAACAAAAATAGAACACGTAAAAGACATCTTGCAGAACTACAGACTAACAAGACAACCTTGCAATGCAAAGTCTTGTGATAGCTTCACAAAGTTCTAAATTTTGATGACTAATCCCTTTTGGTTTCAAGTGGTCAGTCACAAGCCCAAGATACGCAGCAGGCTGGAAGTAGCCCTGAGCACTGCCAGATGGAGCCCCAAAACAAAGATGAGTCTATCTCGTACTGGCAGGGACCTTTCAATGATGGTCTTTCCATGTTATATAAAGGATCTCAAATACAAAGGAAATATCATAGTTATTGACATCTTAAGTTTTTAAATTTTAAGAAGTATGTATATATGTGTATGTGTATCTGAAAGTCCGAAACTGGACAGCCTGTAAATCTGACTGCAAGGCTACCTCTGTCACCCAGACAACCAAATTGAGTGCTGTCCAAACACAGCTTTGACAGAAAGCTCCCATGCCCCAAGGACTGGGGGATCACATCACTAATTCAGAGCCAAAGGGAACCTTCAGGCAGCTGCTAAGCATTTGGCAAGTCGCCTACAGTCACTTCACTGTCAAAGTAGCCTCGGCCCGCCGTGCCTGCACCCTGAAGGTGCAGCCTCCCAAGCAAACACGAGGAGGAAAGATGGCTCAGCACCTACTTTCATCTTCTAAGGGAAAAGTAGGAACCCCAAAGCAAGACACATTCCTCACTCCCGAGCAACAGTGACTGGGGAGGCAAGACCCGTGACCACAGCTCCCCTGCACTTGGTTCAAAGCAGTCGCTCCCACTCTCCGCTGCCAACAGTCACCCATGTGCCAGGCAAGCTATTATCCTTGGGGTCATGCGGCTTTTCAGGGCATTTGTTCGTGGACTCTGGCGAAGTACAGGAAAAGTCACAAAAGGAGTTCCATCAAAGACTGGGAAACAAACCTAATGAGAACCAGAGAGATACAGTAAGGCACTTGTCTTGCCTTGCAAGCCAACTTACAACCTGCCCAGGGTCAATCCTCCGCACCCAGGTATCATTCCAAGCACACCCACAGTGATCCCTGAGCACGGATGGTATGGCCCAAAAACAAACCAAAGTAAAAAGTAATTCAGGGGCCTGAGCGATAGTACAGCGGGCAGAGCGTTTTCCTCGCATGCAACCGACCCATAGCATCCCATATAGTCACCTGGGCACCACCAGGATTAGTTTCTGAGTGCAGTTCCTGAGCATCGCTGGGTGTGACCCAAAAAGAAAAAGAAAAAAAAAAGTAATTTAAAGCTCACACTGTTTTATTAGGTCTTGGATCTTTTACTTATATCTAGCCTTGAATTTAGGCCAAAATACTTAATGATGGGGCCAAGGTACAGCAGGTAGAGCCCTTGCCTTGCACACTGGCAACCCAGGTTCAATCCCTGGTACCACATATGGTCCCCTGAACCCACCAGGGTAATCCCTGAGCACAAAGCCAGGGTAAGTCCTGACCACTGCCAGGTGTGGTCCCCAAACAAAACAGAATATTTAATGATCTTCCCATTAGAAGTGGTAATGGCGAAAAAAAAAGTGATAGGTTGTACAGTGTCAGATGAACAATACTATCTTAATTTTGCAACACTGCAATTGCTGGCACTATCTTTATACAAAGAGACAATAGTCTATAGAACAGAACAAAATCCCTAAAATTAATGTAGGGAGCAGGGATGTAGTTCATCAGTGGAGAAATTTGCTATGCATGCTGATATAACAATCTCACAGAAAACAGAAGGGATGGAGCGATAGTACAGCAGGAAGGGCATCTGTCTTCTACACGGTCAACCCAGATTTTATCTCCAGTACCCCAAATGGTCCCCTGAGCACTGCCAGCAGTGATTCCTGTATGTAGAGCCAGGGGTAAGCCCTGAGCACGGCAGGATATGGCCCAAAAATAAAACAAAAACAAAACTAGGAAGAAGCTGGAATATCAGTCGTGGGAGAAAAAAAATAATAGAACCTATTTTAAGACATCACACCCTGAATTCTCTGGTCCTGAGAGACAGTACAGCAGGTAAGATACTTTCCTTGCACATGGCTAACCAGGGCTCGATCCCCCGCCTAACTAGAAATGGTCTTCTGAGCCCTGCCAGGAGTGACCCTTGAGCGGAGACAGGAGTTTAAGACCCGAGCACAGCCAGGTATGGCCCCCAAAACAGAAACAAAACCTTGCCCTAAGCTTTGCTAACCTATGAACAGTTGAGATCTAGAGAACTCCTGCAGGGCTTGTAACACTGGTTCTTTTTATCCATCAGCTTATTTTTGATCCCAACAAAAAAAGAGAAGGAGGTTTCTTGGCAAACCTCATCCCCTGAGAGATCAGCTCAGAACTCACAAGGTGGGCCAAAGTGGGAGATGGCTCAGAGAGTTGAGCACATGCTGTGCCAGCTCAACGTCCAGCACCCCCTTACCCCAAGAACCCCTGAGAACTACTTTCAAGCATACACGAGGGAAAAGTACTACCCAGTCTTATTGCATTTGCCACACATACACATAGACACACAGACACAGACACACACACACACACACACACACACACACACACACAGACTGAGCAGCAAGAAACCTGCAAGGGTTCAAAACCGATGTACTGCCCCCATCTTATTGCATTACAAACACACACACACACACACACACACACACAGCAGCAGCAGCAGCAGCAGCAGCAGCAGCAGCAAGAAACCCGCAAGGATTCAAAAGTGATATTCCCTGCCAGAATTTTGACTTGAAGAATCCAGGTACCTATGTATAGGCATGGAGTGGGGACTCAAGTTCAGGTCAGCTGAGAGACATATTAAAACAGACCTTCAAGGGCCTGAGAGATAGCATAGCAGGTAAGGTACTTGCCTTGAATGAAGTCCACCCAGGTTCAATCCCCAGCATCCCATATGGTCCCCATGAGCACTGCCAAGAGTGACCCCAGAGTACAATGCTAAGAGTAACCCAAGTATTGTTGAGTGTGGGACTGGAGCAATAGCACAGTGGCTAGGGCATTTGCCTTGCACGCAACCAACCCAGGTTCAATCCCAGGCATCCCACATGGACCCCAAGCACCGCCAGGAGTGACTCCTCAGTGTAGAGCCACGAGTAACACTGAGCATCACTGGTGTGACCCAAAATGAAAAAAAAAAATGTTGCTGGGTGTGGCCCAAAACCAAAAATAGAGACAGACCATCAATCTCCTGGCCCAAACTATTAAGGAATTTAAAAACAGAATCTCACATAACCCCCACCCCCACCCCCAGTGATTCTGAACCACCCCTTTGAGGACCTCAAGTGACCCTAATTCTGAAACCAGTCAGAAAATCCAGCTGCTTCCTAATCCTCCACTCAAAAGAAACTTGCCAAGCTAATCAAGCAGCCTGTTCAAGTTAGTAGCACCAGTGATCTGACCTGAATTAGTCACCCGGGAAGACATCACAGTCCTCAACCCAGACAGCCAGGCCAATAGGCTCACGGTACCCAACTGCCCCTGGAAAGTGCTAACAGATAAGGACTCTGAATTTCTTTCGAAGGTGCTCTGCATTTTAAGGAAGACGTAAGTAATGAAGGTGTAATCCTGGTCAAAATCAAATCTTTCAGTCAGTTGAAAGATCCTACAGAAAACTGCCTTCCTGTCTAACTTTATTTCATACTGAAAAAGGCAGCTGGTTTCCTTTTGAACTCCAATTTTAAAAGACAATTTTATAAGTAGAAAAATAAAAACGGTGATCATTTTCTCTTACAGATTGCTTTTGCTATCTCTAAAACATTCTGTGGGAGGAAAAATAGTCAGAGGTGGCTTCACCATGGTTCTGCCAAGCCTAGGATCTCTGAGGAGAGTTTTCTCGTGGTAACAGAAGGCACAAAGAGCGGAGGGCCAAGAAACAACATGAGGGTCAGAGAGAAAACCGGAAGCAGGCCTAGAAATAAGCACACCTGAAACACCTGTATAGGATTTGAAAGCACCACTCCTAAAAGATAAACGCTTCCCTACCTTATGATTTGAGCCTAAAACCATATGCCCGGGGCAAGACAAATTTCAGAAGACATGACACTCTTGAAATACAGAATTTTATTTAGAAACTGTTTAAAGTAGAAAAAAACCCTGTCAAGAAAGACCAGGTGGAAAATGGGTTCCCGATAAAATGGAATTTGAGGGCAACGAAAGTCTAAAAGGCCACAAAAGAGAAATAGCACCACTGTTATTTGAACAATGGCTAGTTACTTGCATTTTTTTTTTTGGCATTGTAAATCACTGAATCTGGGTTTTCCTCTGAATTCCACACAGAGCATGCACTACACGATTTTTATCATAAAATATCTGCTTTCTACACACATTTCAGGACAAGCTACCACCAGAAACAAATCAATGCAAATACATCAGGGGTTGAACAATCTCAGTAGTGGGTGACACACATTTTGCAGAATTCTGCCAAACAAAGGAACTGAATGGCTGTGGGCAAAGCAAATGAGGGCGAGTTAAGGAGTGAGATATTTTAAATATTAATAATTAATTCAGACATGGTACTGTAGTTTCTGCAAAAGAAAATTAACATTTAGTAACACGCTAACAAGTCTTATCTCCAAAGAGATTAGTGCACTGGCAAAGGCTTCCGCAAACAGACTGGGGGCTGTGGGCAGCAGGTGCTGAAACCCAAGGCCTGGCCGACCCGAGGGAGCGCTGGCCTTCACCTGTCCCTCCCCTGGCCGCGAGTCCAGGAAGAACTCACAGCCTGATCGCCCACCTGCTGAACTTCCACTCTGAGCAGCAAACGTGAAGGAGCCAAAGGAGAGACCCCCGTGGGCCAGAGAAGAAAAGCATGTTAAATGTAAACTTAAAAAGGCATAAAATGGGACACAACCCCCATTCAAACTCCAGAGACGTGGGCAAGTCCCTGAAATTTAACTGCTAAGATTTAAAAACTTGATACACCTCATTTCTTAAAAAAAAAAAATAATAATAATAATAATAAAGAGAGAGAAATTTCAGGGGTCATGGAGAAAAAGCGTCAGAAAAATGCTCAATGAAAATCAAGCTCTTCACCTCAAAGGTCTCGGGACTAGAGCACGCCCTCTGCTCATGCGGGGACAATGCCTCTTGCAATTGGTCAAAGACAAAGCAACTTGAGCTTCCCGCCGGGGCCATGTGTAGGTCTGTGAAGTTTCGAGCAGCCCCACGAGGCCCGTGCACAGCAGCTTCCAAGGGTCCCAGGTCTGGCCTTTCCTTCCCCAGACACAATGGCAAACACACAGCATCTCCTGTCACATTGTGTTTTATAGTTTGAAATAGGAAAGCATATTTTAAATACTCTTAAGGCATTTATTTATTAAAATGTTCTCTGCCAAAATTTCACATTAGATTATAAGTTCAATTCAGTCTTTACATTTTTCTCCCGAGGTCGCCACCTCAGCGCATTACACAGAAACACCTTCTCCAGCACTCAGTGTTAACCAGCGTCCACGCGGTGAGCCCACGGTCAGCCTCTCTGTTCCCTGGGTGAACCAACTAGATGTTAATACTGCTCTGCTACAAGGTAAAAGCTCCTAACTCAAACTTATTGGAAAAGGAGTGAAACTTCTGCAAAGTGCACTTTAAGAAGAGGTACGTTTTGCTTATGAAAAGAAACCAGTGAGTCCTCTAAGAATAAAAGGGAGTATTTTACAGTTAAGCACATGATTTGGAGTGAAGAATCTCAATGTTGCTCTGCTGGTCCAGGCTGTTAATACTCTTCTTGATCCTCCTGAGGGCCCCCTTCGTCGGGTATCACAAAGCCTTCCTGAAATGGGAAGGAAGAGCAGAAACCTGTTAGGTTTTCAACAATGAAGGAGCAGTTTCTCCTGTGGGCTCACTTCCCCATAATCAAAGTCTCTCAAAGTCAACAGTTCTTCCTGTCCCTACAGCACACGGGGCACAAAATGGCACAAGGGCAAGGGACCTGCTCGGTTCATTACTCAGGAAGCGGAATCATCTCTTACAAAGGACAAAGCCTGAGCAATCAAATTCACCCTCATATTGCTGGTGATGCTCACGTCCACTTGATTAAGGTGAGGATTTCACAGGCCAGCAAACGTTCCTCTTTAAATATGAGCAATTTACAATGTTGGTTCTACCTCAATAATGTGGGAGACACAGTTCAAAGGCTGAGGCATAAGCCTTGTGTGAGACCAGCTCTGGTTGGACACCTGGCACCAGATGGTCCCCTGAGCACCAACAGGTGGCTCGGGTAATCCCCAGCACTGCAGAGCCTGGGTGGCACTGCATCCTTTGGCTCCTGCACTGAACTGCCAGCCTAGTTGACTGAGAATCACTAGTGGGCCCCCCCACTCTAAGTTCCCTATAAAGTTGCCCACCATAATGATACAGCTGTTGCCACATCTGTGGCCTGGAAAAACTTTGGGTTACAGCTCCCACAATCTGACATGAATGTACTATAGAGAATTCTCTGCTGGTATGAATCGGGGAGCCCCTTCATCTACTCCCCTTTTTGTAAATGAAACCTTCGTGGCTGAATTCATGAAAGATACCATTTCGTCCAAGTAATACTGCGGGGCCAGGGAGAGTGCAGTGAGTTAAGGCACTTGCCTTACACGGCCAACCCAGGTTCAATCCCTGACACCCCATATGATTCTTCAAGTACCACCAAGAGTGATCCCTGACCAGAGTCAGAAGTAAGCCCTGAGCACCTGTGGGCATGGCCCAAATGCAAAACAGGAAACAACAAAAGCTCTTCTCAGCCTAGAGCAAGAGCCCTGCGTCTCCATCATCCATGCTATCATTCCCTGACACAGGGCCAGACAGAAACAAGACTAATCACTGGTCAGCAACCTGCAGAGTCCTCCCCAAACTCACCACACAGGGCTGGAGCGATAGCACTGTGGGTAGGGCGTTTGCCTTGCACGCGGCCAACCCGGGTTCGATTCGCAGCATCCTATATGGTCCCCTGAGCACCACCAGGAGTAATTACTGAGTGCATGAGCCAGGAGTAATCCCTGTGCATCTCTGGGTGTGACCCCAAAAAGCAAAAAAAAAAAAAAAAAAAAAAACGCACAAGCTCCTAATCCTCACATGGAGAGAGCCTCCGGTTAGTAGCAGGCTACAGAGACTGCCTAGCACTACAACAAAAGAAACTGGCCACTGCCTGGGCACACAGGAGGCCCTGAGGAAGAAGCAAGTATGCCAGCCTAAAGGGTCCTGGCAGCAGGGGCATGGGCTGTCAGAAGCAAGAGCATTCTGTGGCCCACTCACCTGCCAGCGGCCACAAACGCCAGAAGCAGGGCAAGCCAGTCGCCCCCCCGACTGCTCCTGCCCTTGGCTCACAGTGCACTCTGGCTTGGGGCAGAGCCATCGTACTGCTGCCCGCGTACACTTATCACGCACGCGCCTGACCTGGGTTCGATCCCCAACACCTGAGCCCTGCCAAGAAGAAGCCCTGAAAAACCCCAATATGCGCATGTGCGTTGAGTATCATGGGGAGGGGGGGGGGGGTGGCATGCCTCAGCAGCGGCCAACCTGGCAACCCAGTGCACTCTGGCTGAGCCAGAGGGGTCAGAGACAAGAATGCTAAGCAGGACATGACAGATATTAGCAGGGGCCGGAGAGACAGTCCAGGAGAAGGGGGCAGGGCGGTGCTGTTGGTTAAGTGCTTGCATCGTGCCAAACTCAGTTGGATACCAGTACTGCATATGGTCTCTGAAGTACTGTAAGGAGTCACTCTTGAGCACAGAGCCAGGAGAAATCCTTGAGCAATGCCAGGAGTGGCCCAAAAGCCAACAGGGCCCAGAAAGATAGTACTGTGGGTAAGGCCTTACACGTGGCCGAACCAGGTTCAATCTGTGGGACAATCCACAACGCCAAGTATGGTCCCCTGGACCCTGCCAGGATCGACCCCTGAGCACTTAAGTCCTGAGCACCGCTGGGTGGGCCCCAAACCCCCACTTGAAAAAAAGCCACATTTTCTCTAGTGATTTGTTTAGAAAATCCCCTCCTGAGGATACGTACATCCGTGGCATAGAGAATGTCCACGATCCTCTGCAACACAGGGTTGTTCTCCCCCTCGTTCTCCTGGCAAATCAACTCAATGTTCCTGAGTTTCCCAAAGTAGAAATCTCTCTCTTTCTCCAAATCTTCAACGGTGAGTTTCAATACATTGATCTGCGTAAAACATGACAGATGGTGAGACAGCAGCATCCACACCCCACTTGGAGCAGACTGAGTCTACCCACTCTTGCACAAACTCTCAATTGCAGACAGAAACCTGTTTTTAGTGTCAATTTTTTCAGTCTCAGAGGTTTGCTCATGGTCTTAACCTTGACTATAACACCCAGAAAAGGGAGTGAACATGCAGGAATTTGTTTGGAACTCGAAAGATAAGGAAAAACACTGGAATCATGAGGAGGATGAAGCCAAATCCTGGGACTGCAAAGATAGTCCAGGGGATAAGGCACTTTTGCCTTGTAGATGCCAACCCAGTTGGATCCCCGAGGCCAGAGTATGGCCAGGTTTGGTCGAAACCTCCCACTCCCACCCCCTACCGCCCAGAAAACAGCAGAATCCACAACCCAGCCCTGCAAGACCGCTGACAATCATACCCGGAGGCCTTACCAAGGCATGGGTCAATCGAGTCCCGGTCTTCCTGGTGTGGAAGTCAATGGAAAGAGAGGGTCTAGTCTGGGAAAGCAAGGTCGAGTGGGGAGCAAGGCGGGGGGAGGAGGCTAGCTCGAGAGAGGCCTGGCACACAAACCTTCCCCATACGCTGGGGAGGGGATGATTCAAACTCAAAGAAGAGCCTCCTCCAAGGACAGGCAGCTGACTCTCCCCCGAGTGTCTCGAAAGGGAGGAGAGGGCGAGGCAGGGAGGGACCCAGCACATTCCGTCACAGCTCCACTGAGTGGCATGGCTGTTCGCACACATGCTGCGTCACCACTCTCAGAGACAGATGGCAACCCCAGCGCTCCGGCCGGGATTCTCCCTGCGCAGGGCCAAGTCCGCACCCCTGCAGGCCCATGTGGGGGTGGGGATGAAGCACAGCGCATCTTCATTCCAGTGGCTCCAAACTCACGCTCAGCGTGTGAACTCGCTTTCACTCTCACTGAATGTAGATGCCTTGGCACTTGAGATCACAGGCAAGGGCCACCGGGAAAGGCAAGCTAGGACACGGAGCGGCCTGCTGAGAACCACTGGGGTGGCAGGGGCTTCTAAGTCAAGGCCACAGAATCTCCTCTAAGTCCAGGAGAGAGTCCGGGGATTAAAGCGCCTGCCTTGCATGCAGCTCACCCCAGTCTGATCCCCAGTACTGAATAGATCCCCGAAACAGCCGGGAGCAACTCCAGGACAGAGCCAGAAATAGCCAGAAGCAACCACTGCGTTCAAAGAATCTCCCCGACCCCCCAAAAATCTAGATCAACCTTGCAACTTCCAGCTGCAAAAACTGAAGCGCAGAGCTTTCCTGGCCCCACCCGCCAGCATAAGAAGCCAGACACAGTTCAGGTCATCGAATCCTGGCCGGCGGGGAAGAAAGCTCCATTCCCCTAACCTACAGTCAGGAAGTGTCCAGAGACCAGGAGCAGGTGACCAGGCCCACCAGGACCCTCTAGTCAGACTCACCTTCGACGTGCATCGCCAAAGTCCTGAACAAATTGAAAGTCAGAATAAAGGTTCTAGAAAGACTTTCTGAAGTGCCAATCAAATACTGGCATCATCTAGAAGCCAACCCACAAAAACTAAATGAATAACAACAAAAGTTTAAAACATGAGATAGAGGAAGTACAACTGGGAGGGCACTGGCCTAGCTGAGAGTCAACCCAGGTTCAATCCCTGGCACACAGCTGTTTCCCGACTCGACTTTTAGGGAGGGAAGGGGGATTAGTTCAATCCAAACTGAGCATTCTGATTCTAAAACTAGAGTTAATATAAAATAATCAGCCAAAAACAAGCCAACAAATACAACTATTAAGGAACAGTAAGAAAATTCCAAAAATTCAAGGTAGTTCTAATTCAAATTCTAACTGACTAGACCCATATGGTCCCCAGAGCACTGCCAGGAGTGATCCCTGAGCACAGAGCCAGGAGTAAGTCCTACAGCCTTCAGGTATGACCCCAAACAACCCAAAACCCTATAAAGAGCCTGCTACTGGCTTATTTTGGTGGTGCTCAGAGCTCCCCACATGCCAAGCAGACGCCCTCCAGGGAGCCAGACGCCCAGCCCTGAGCCTGCAGGCTTTTCACACTAGCTCCACTTTCAACCTGAATCTCAAGTGATGAGAAATTTCAGGCAGGCTGTAAAATACTTTAAAAATTATTATTCACAATGGAATTCTCCTTTTGTCTTTTGTTAGAGCCAAAACATAAGACCCTCTGGACCCCAGAGCGTGAGCAGGTCTCCAGACGCCAACAGTGATACCCTGCGATCTCAGGTCTGCCAGGTACTGGCTCATGCTCCCCCCCCCACCCAAGACTCCGGAGAGCAAGCAGGAGAGTCAGCGCTCCCTCCCAGCACAGGGAGATACCGCCACCCCCCCAGTCTGCACCTACCTGCTGCATTAATTCGGCTGCTTCATCATCCCCATTGCCTACACCGGGGTTCTTCCGCACCATTCCTGGTCCAGCCTTAGGCGTTGCAGTAGTTCTGTGTGTTGCAATGGGCCTCTGTGGAGCTAAGAACGAAGCAGAAGTCTTTTTAAGAGACAAAAAAAGATCACTAGGGGCGGAAGAGACAGAAAATACAAGGGTCCGAGTTCCTGTTTGCATGTAGTCTGGTTCCGGCCCTGGCACATGCTCCCCCCACATCACCAGGTATACCTCTGAAGGCCCTCCCACAGGCCCCACAGTGAACTGCTGGTCTGGCTGCCCAAGAATCCCCAGGTGGGGATGCTCTGGACCTCCTGAGCTCCGCCTGGGAGCTCCCACCCATCAACCAAAACAGAGAATTCATCAGAAAACAAGAGAAGGCTGTGGCCAACTGCCTTCCTCAGCTGTTCAGGGAAAGGGTTCAGTGCACGGGCCCAAGGTGAGAGCCAGCATGCAAGACACCATCGGCATGTCCACCAAAGTGTTCTCATCTCACTCAAGTACCATTGCCAGCCCTCATTTTCTGGGCAGGACTGAGTCCTTCTCTGACGCATCTCTTTCCGGTAGGACAAAGAGGACTATCATCTGAAAGAGGCACAGTCATTCGCTACACACAGATGATCCCCTTCAACACCACCCACCACGTCCACAGCAGGGCCGCTTTCAGGAGCAAAGGCACACTCTCAAGAGTGAGCACCGCTAGCTGGTGACAGTTCCCACCTGGGGAATCAGCTGCCTCCCAATCCAGACCCTCAAAGAGACAGGATGGTTGAGGCAACTCTTACAGGTACGGGTGTGTGTGTGTGTGTGTGTGTGTGTGTGTGTGTGTGTGTGTGTAGGGGGGGACACAGCATGATTAAGGTATGGGGTGTGTGTGTGTAAGGGGGGACACAGCATGATTAAGGTATGTTTGGAGACGTTCTACCACAGACCTAGATCCCTGGCCAAAATACATCTTTGGGGGCTGGAGCGATAGCACAGCGGGTAGGGCGTTTGCCTTGCACGCGGCTGAGCTGGGTTCGATTCCCAGCATCCCATATGGTCCCCTGAGCACCGCCAGGACTAATTCTTGAGTGCAGAGCCAGAAGGAACCCCTGTGCATTGCTGTTGTGACCCAAAAAGAAAAAAAATCTCTTTGCTCAGAGGTGTTTAGAAAGGCTCCAGAGCAACAAACCAGGAGCAGCTCCTAAGTACCACTGGGTTTGGTCCAAAAATTTAAAAAACGAAACAAAAAAAAAAAAAAAAGAAGAGCCAAATCCGTTCCATAGAAAGTGAATTAACAGGCAGGAAAGTCAGAACACAAACAGGAAGTATTGAGTATAGCCAGATGTTACCCAAAATAAGAAAAGAAAAAGAAAAAAAGGAAAAGTAGATGAGAGGTTGTCGAGAAACAGAAAATGACTACCAATAGGCACACACCGTTTCCTTTGTGGGACAAAGAAAAAAACACTAAAACTGAGGTGCTACTTGAACACTCCTGGAAATACACCAAAAACCATTCAATGGCACACTTTCAACAGGTGACTGGCATGCAAGTGAATCACAGCTCAACAGTGATGAAAATCTGAGAGCCCTCGATAAGCTCTCCACCTACCAGTCAAGGCTCTCTGGACTTTAAAGTCCTTGCCATCTTGGGGTGGGGTGGGAAGGAGAGGGGGTGCCTATAGAACATCCACTCCCCATCTGCACACACTGAATGTGCTACTGGGAACGTCCTGGGAGACGACCAGGTCAAGTCCTTTCATCCTGTTTTATTTGTTTTTGTTTTTTATTGTTTTTTGTCTGGGGGCCACCACCTGCTCAAAGCTTGCTCCAGGCTGTGCACTCACTCCTGGCAGTTCTTGGAGGACCATAAGGAATGCCAGGGATCAAACCCAGGTGAGCTGCGTGAAAGGCAAGCGCCCTACCCGCTGTTCTATCTCTGTGGCATGAAAGAAGGCAACTGTAAGGGCAGGCTGGAGAGAGCTAAGGACAGGAACAGCTGCCTGGTGCCCCATAAGCCGTGCTCCTGACATGTGACTAAGCCTAGAGCAACTCAAAAACTCCCCATGAAGGAACAATGAACGCATGAGTAGCTGGGATATTGCACTGAAAAGGATGTCCTTTTTGGTGTCTTTTACCTGCGCTGCTAGAGCTGAGAGGTTTCTTGGGTTTGTTCACAGCAGGAGCGACGAGTGAGGGTGCCACTGCAGTCTCCTGACCTTGTCTGGCTGCAACAGGGTCATAGTCTTTCCCATCATAGTTTGCGTCGAAGAATTTCTTGAACCACTGAACAAATTCAAAATTGTCCTGAAACTTCCCTTTTACTAATTTGTCCACAGGAATTATCTGCAGAGAAAAAACAAAGACAGCCCAGAGCAAAAGGATTTCGGCAATACCAAATGTTTCCCCGTATCAAATCAGCATAAAGCTCTGTCAAAAGGAAAAAGTAAATAAAGCAACAAACAGTGCAGAGGCAAGAGCTTAGTACTAAGCCCTCTTAGTATGAGAGAATACAGCAGGTAGGCATTCATCCTGGTATTGTCGACCCAGAAACCAACTCAAGCACCCCTCTGGTCCCCCGAGCTGTGATCCTTGAGAGTAGAACCAGGAAAAGCACCACCACATGGTGTGGGAACCTCCCCCAAAAAAGTATCCAGAACAAGTTTCACTTTGCCTTCGACACAATATTCTCCATTGGCCAACACCCCTTCAGTTCCATAAATGCATTAAAAAGTCCAAAACACAGAAAAAAGGAACAGTACACACATGCAAACCCATCAAAGACAGGACAAAGCTATAAGTCCACTCTAAAGAGTAAATCGAGGGGCTGGAACAATAGCACAGCGGGTAGGGCGTTTGCCTTGCACGCAGCCGACCGGGGTTCGATTCCCAGCGTCCCATATGGTCCCCTGAGTACCGCCAGGAGTGATTCCTGAGTGCATGAGCCAGGAGGAACCCCTGAGCATCACCGGATGTGACCCAAAACGCAAAAAAAAAAAAAAAAGTATTTCTCCCAGCAGCATCTACAGTACAGAACACAGTACATTCCCGGCACCCTATATGGTGATCCCTGAGCACAGCTGAGTGTGCCCTGGAGAGCAAAATCTTCCAGATAACCATCAGTGTCCTAGAACTTGTCACAAAGTACAAAATCTGGAAATTAACCAGAAAACTACAATAAATAAGTTAAAGCAACTTCTGTCTTCCATACCCATGTTAACTGCACACTAAGAAGAGTTTCAAACATTTTATTTTTGGTTTTGGATCAGACCCAGTGCTACTCAGGGACCTATCCTGGAGGAGGTCACAGGGGTCAAACCTGGATCAGCTGCACACCAGGCAAGCACCCTACCTGCTGTACTATCATTCCAACCCCAGGGCCTTATATAAAAAGAACAAGTACAAGCATTTAAAATATATTAGCATTAAAAACAGTCTTGCGGGTTAGACAAATGGTACAGCAGGTGAGGCACTTGCCTTGCATGTGGGTGACCTGGATTCACTCCCCAGCATCACATATGGTCCCCTGGTACAGTGCCAGGAATGATCCCTGAGCATAGTCAGGGGTGGCCCAAACACACACCATCCCCCAAACAGTCTAAAGATGGGCCAGAGAGAACACTCAAAGACACTGAGAGCATGGTCTGCATTGCAGGAGGCCTGGGTTCAATCCCTGCCACTATATGATCCAAGAGAACTGAGCTGGGAGTAACCCCTGACTACCAATGGGTGTGGCCCAAGTACCAAAACAACAGCAAAGAATTCAAGAGGCCACAAAGATGGCTCAAAGTACTAGAGCTTGAAGTCTTTATAAACTCTTCACTAACAGAATACTTTAATTCTACCAGAAGGAATGCCTGACAGAAGTAATCCACAGGCTTTTGAGTTTCTGAGTCCGTTGTGGAGCCACAACCAGTGGTACTCAGGAGCTGTGCCTGGATCGGTGCTCAGAGGACCAGAAGGTGTCACGGACAGAAAGCCTGAGCACTGGCCCACTGCGCTACCTCTCCGGCCTTAAAGTTTCATTAATGTTTCATTATTCACCAGTACAGACTTGTAGGGTGAATATAAAGCCACTAACTTCATGATGAAGATGACTGCAAGAAAAACTGAGGATGGAGGACAGAGAAATAATACAGTGGCAAGGCTCTTGCCTTGAGTGCGCCTGACCTGGGTTTGGATCTCTAGCACCCATGAGGTGAGTGAGCATTGCCAGGTGGGGTCCCCAAAACAAAACAAGAAATTCAATGATTCCAGGATACAGTTAAGCAGTAGAGCAATTGTGAGGCCGAGTTTGATGCCTGGCACTGGATAAAACAAAAGAAACAATTTAAATGGAAAAACAAGGGACCAGAGTGATAGCATGGGGGGTACAGGGGGTGGCCTTGCCTTGCACACAGTTCACCCGGGGTCTCACGAGTAACTCATGAGCAGGGTTGGGTTTGGTCCCAAAACAATAAACAAATAAACGGAAAAATAAAACTTACTTTGTCAACACCCATCCTCTTAAAACCTGCTTGTAGTATTTTGAAGTTCTGGATATATTCATGTTCTAGTTTAGCTTGAAATTTCACTTTCTTCAAGGCAATGGAGCCAGGAAACAGCATGTCCATAAACTGACAATACGCAGCCCCTGAATAAACAACACAGAAGAACAAAACACACAACTGGATCATTAAATGCCGTTAGTAAAACAGCAAGGTAAACTTTTATAGTCCACTGAACCCAAATACCATTTTGGGGGAACTCTCAAATGACATTCGGGAGACTCGGGGCTCCCTCGCAGGGAATTCTGTCAAGTGTGTCAGCAGCTCAACGACTCTGGCCAGCCTGAGAACACTCTGGGCCTGCAGGGCCACACCTGGCAAAGGGCTCGGGGCACCACGGATGCTGGAAATTAAATGAGGCTTAGCCACATTCAAGACAAGAGCCTGAACCTCTGTATCTCTTTGATCCTTAATACTATTTAAACCCTTATGAAAAGGATCTTCAAAATCCAACTTCAGAGGCTGGAGAAGAAGAGTACAGTGGGTTGGGCATTTGTCTTGCATGTGGTCACCTGGTTCAATACTCTGCCCCACTTATGATTCCCTGGAATTAGGTGTAAATTCTGAGCACTGAAGGCTGTGTTCCCCTCCACAGCAAAAACAAATAAATAAATACACAGAAAGGAAATAGGAGAGAGCCTCCCCCGATGGGCAGGCAGGGTGCCGACTTTCCAAGTAGCTGAAGTTTACCCTCCAACCCAATCACTTTCCGAACAGCTAATAAACTTAATCTCTTTTCAGAACAAAATTGAATAAAGACATTATTACATGCATCTACTTAAATTTCTTATTGTAAGAAGCCAAGGAGCTAGGTCAATGGTCAGGGAGCATTTGTCTTGCATCCCCAGGGACTATAGTCTGAACACTGAACTGCAGAGATCCCCAAGCGCCATCAGAGTAGCCCAAGTGCAGTCACCAGCACTGCACTGCAGTTTCAACAATTGAACTGCCTAGTCCAGCTTGGCCAAGTACCTCCAGGAGTGGTCCCCAAGTACCACGAGCCCTGCTCAGGAGGCCCCTTCCCCACCCAACATTCTATCCTAAGGAATTAGTACTCATCATCCAATTTGCTCTCTAATTCTCCCCCACCCTTGCTTTTTATTTTTTGCTTTTTGGGTCACACCTGGCAATGCACAGAGGTTACTCCTGGCTCAGCACTCAGGAATTACTCCTGGCAGTGCTGGGGGGACCATATGGGATGCTGGGAATCGAACCCAGGTCGGCCGCGTGCAAGGCAAACGCCCTACCCACTGTGCTATCGCTCCAGCCCCCACTTACCATTTTTCCCCCCATCTCTGCCCCTGAAGATACTTCTCTTGGTGCTTAAAATTTCTAGGAATATTATTTCCCTGATGCCTCATAAACATATTTCCCGATTCCAGGACAGGATGCCTGCTGTGCATCGTTCAGGGATAATTCACCAAGGGGAAAGCCAGTGACTAAGCAATCAGCATCCTGCAGAACAACGTGAGATCACCATCACGCATGCGTCCAGCTGCCTTTAAATCCAGCCACACTGGCTCTCTGCCAGGTCCTCCCTGGAGAGCGCTGTCACTGTAACTTTTAGAAAGCAGCAAAGACGACAGAGCATTTGAGAAACCAGAGGGACGTTCTTAACAGAAAGGAAGTAAAAGCCTGGTTTTTGAGGTAGCCGCTTACTTAACCAATAATACACTGAGAGCATTCTGTGCCGGGCACTTAATCAGTTATTCTTTTTTTTCCAAGGACACGAAGGGCCAGAGAGGACACTCAAGAGTTAGAGCACAAGCTTTACAGGCAGAAGGCCAGGGTTCAATTCCTAACACCACATAGTCCCCTGAACCCTGAGCACTGCCAGAGATAATTCCCTCCATCCCTAAAAGAAGTAGCCAGATGGGGCCAGAGAGATAATACAGCAGGTGGGGTGTTTGCCTTGCAAGTGGCCGACCTGGTTTAGATTCCAGGAACCCCATATGATCCCCGCCCCACCCAAGCACTGCCAGGATAATTCCTAACTGCAGAGCCAGGAGTAGCCCAAGTATCACCCGGTATGGCCCATAAACAAAAACAAATTCTTTTGACTTCCCAGATTCCAGAAGCCAATGACCTAGTTTCTACAACAAAGTAACAATATTCAAAAGGCATTAGCTATTTGCAATTTTAAGAGATTTTATATCTCTTACTTTAGGGGTCAGAGAGACAGCACAGTAGATAGGGCACTTGCCTTGCAATACAGCTGACCCAGGTTCAATACCCAGCACCCCATATGGTTCCCCTGAGCCCACCAGGAGTGATCCAGGAGTGCAGAGCCAGGAGCAAGCCCTGAGCACTGCCAGGTACAGCCTAAAAATGAACAACAATAAAAAAAAAAATGCCTATTTAGGGGTCAGAGAGATAGATGGCTCAAAGAGCTGCAATGCATATTCTGCATGTGAGAGGCCTGGTTCAATCCCCAGCAGAGCACAATCCCTAAAGCACTACCAGGACTGATCCCCCAAACACCAAGCTGAGAGTAGCCCCTGAGCACTGTCAGGTGTGGCCCTGAGACAAAGGGTTAGTACAGGCCAAAAGCACAGAGATCAGGGATGACAAGTGAAGCCCAACCCTAGATATGTGAATTCCACCTGCACAGCATGGTTATATACCACCCTTCCTCTCAGAACACCCTCTAAGAAAGAAAACCAAAAAGAAAGCAGCAGAATGGGGAGTCGGGGGAGGGGGCACAGTGGAGGTAAGCAGAGGTATGGGGTACGCTGCTACTCTCTAACTGGCTGGAACAGGTGAACACAAAACAATAAGGGTCAGGAGGACAGCCGAAGGGCTGGAGCACAGGTTTCGACAAGTATCTGGAGCAAAGTGTGATCCCCGAGCCATTGCCACTTGCAAACCTGGTGTGGCAAGTGTGTCATCTCCAATGCACCCATCCAAGTGTATCTGCGCATGGCCACGAAAATGGGCAGCTCTCACCTTCACAACGACGAAGTATGGAAAGGGGAAAAGTAAAAGCAGCAAACAAAACTATACATGCTTACTCTTAACAGTCTAATAACAGCAATACACAAGAAACTGTACCTCATGGTGTCTCACTAATAAAAATTAAAAAAAAAAGCAGTAAGCCAAATGTTTATTAATGACCTAAGCAAATTAGAGCACCATACAGCCATAAAAGAAAAGCAGCATTTGATATATGGCTATGAACACTCTAGAACATAGGGTGTAATTAAACATACTATAATTTGTGTAAAAACAGGGGAAAGAAAACACACATTTATCCAGAATACAGAGCAGGATGGTTTTCCCATGAGACAGACTGACCGAGACTCTGCAAACTACCAAGCTGGAGCGGAACCAGCTGACTAGGAGACCGATGAACTTTTCATTATTCGGTGTTTTGTTCCTTTTTTAAATCTTCTTGTGACTCAGTTATTTACCAAAAAAGAAAAAAAAAATGGGCCAGAGAAAAGTAGAGCACGTAGGACACCTGTTTTGCATGTCGCTGATCCTGGTTCCATTCTTGGCACCCCACATGGACCCCCAAGGCCTGCCAGGCAGGAGTGATCCCTGTGCACAGAGCCAGGAATAAGCCAGGTGTAGCCAAAAACCAATATACATACATAAAACTGCACCACAGTACATACATTAATTATGTTTAAAATTTATAGAAAAATTCAAAGCAGAGCTAAAGTAAGTAATCGTAGGCAAGCTATTTAGAATCCCTCTACCTCAGTTTACCAACCTGTGAAACCAGCAAAATTCCTTACCTCCCATGCTCTTACTTTGAAAGTGTCTTTGCCTATGCCAAGTGTTCAATAAGGCCGTAACTGGGGCCAGAGCAATAGGACAGTGGGTAGGGTGCTTGCCTTGCATGCGGCTGACCTGGAATCAATCTTCATCACCACATATGGTTCCCCAATCCCCAACAGAAGTTATCCCTGAGCACAAAACCAGGAGTTAACCACTGAGCATAGCTTTGATGTGACCAAAAAAAAAAAAAAAAGAAAAAAAAGAAAAACAAGTAAAATTCCTGGTGGGAGGGGAGGGGGAGGGGGGAATGCAGTGAGAGGGACCCTAGGAACCCAACGGAAGGAAGAAGATACCAGAGGTGGTGGGATCGGTGCCAGAACAGTATGTCTAAAGCCCAACTGTGAATAACTTTATAAACCATGGGGCTTTAATAAAATAATAAAATATACAACACTGTTCAACTTCCTTATACCTGCAGACCAGCCCCTATCTACACACAGGTCCACAGACCAGCCATAAACAGCTACCTTAGTTCTAACCGCTAAAGTAGACACTGGTACTCCATCTGTCTACACCTGCTGACTGGACTGTGTAATAAAACGAAAGACCTGAGTTCAAAAACTAAACCAGGAGCCAGAGAAACAGCACAGGGCGCAGGGTGCTTGCCTTATACAGAGCTCACCTGAGTTTGATCCCCAGAACCCCATAAGGTTCCCTGAGCCTCACCAGGAGTGATTTCTGAGCACAGAGCCAGGAGTAAGTCCTGAGTACAATTGGGTATGGACCTCCCCCCCCCAAAAAAAAATTTTTTTTAAATGTCTTATCTGGGGCCAGAGAGACAGGGGTTGTGGCTCTTGCCTTACATGCAGCCAACCAAGGTTCAATGCTTTGCACCACATATGGCAACACAAGCCCTGCCCAGTGTAAAACACAACCTCTTCCAAAAAAACCCAAAAATTAGTATGTGTTACCAGGGATGTAATTCAGCAGTAAATCACATGCCCTGCACCACAGAGGGGAAAAAAAAGTATCTGTTTTGATAAGCAAACCTCACAATAGCTCAACAGGTGGGCAGGTGCGACTCAGCCATTTTCAGAAGTGAAACTGGAACACAGACCCGTGTAAAGTCACACAGCTGCGCAGAGTAAAGCCCCGATAAGTGCGGCCTGACTATCACGGCCAACACTGCCAGAAGAAGGGACACAGTGGTGTGTGCCACAAAGGCCAGGGGCTCAGTCCCCAATTAGCCTGAGTCCATCCAGAGCAGGGAATTTCAGGGAGGAGCTGCTGGCAGAAAAGCTGGCTCAAGCGAAAACCAAGATGACCTCGTCCCCGTATCAGTCATCAACCACAGAGCAAGCACAGGCTTTCCAAGCCTCCAACAGGGGCCGGAGCAAGAGTACAGAGGCTGGGCACTTGTCTGCACGTGGCCGACCCAGGTTCAATCCTCGGCATCCCATGTGGTCCCCTGAACGCTGCCCGGAGTGATTCCTGAGTACAGAGTCACAGGTGAGCATCGCCAAGTTTGGCCCCAAAGCCAAAAAAATAAACAAACAAAAAGCCTCACACAGGAGGTGGTGTGATGGTACAGTAGGCAGGGCAACTGCCTTGCACACAGCTGACCTGGGTTCGAACCTCCAGATAGTCCCACAAGCCTGCCAAGAGTGATTCCTGAGTGCAGAGCCAGCAGTAAGCCCTGAGCACTGCTGGGCATGCCACCCCTCCCCACCCCTCGCCCCCCCCAAAAAAAAATACCACAAAAGCATCAAACAAATGGGGCAACAACAGTAACACTGAGGAAACAGAAGTCTGGGGGTCAAGGAGCAGAGTGGCACAGATATAAACCTAGCAATAACTAACCAAGGAGTTTTGAACAAGCAGGACCCAGCACCACTGCCGCTCTCAATGGCTACACACAGCCCTCCTGCTCCCCTCTGTAAAACTGGGATTCAAATAGCAGGGTGAGAAGAAAACTAGACCAAGTCTGGCACAAAATAAGGGGAACGTTGGGGTTGGGGACTGGAGCAATAGCACAACGGGTAGGGCGTTTGCCTTGCACGCGGCCAATCTGGGTTCGATTCCCAGCATCCCATATGGTCCCCCGAGCACTGCCAGGGGTAATTCCTGAGTGCAGAGCCAGGAGTAACCCCTGTGCATCGCCGGGTGTGACCCAAAAAGCCAAAAAAAAAAAAAAAAAAAGGAGAACGAAGGGCATAAGTGCACAACTCAAATGGCCAGAGGGCATGTTTCACACAAGGAAGCCCCAAGACACTCTCCTGGCAGCACACGGTATCCCAGGCACCATTAGTCCCCCTCTAAAATTACACAAAGTGACAGCAATAATTTTAAACTCATCCGAATGGCACCTGCTGGTTAGGGGAAAGTCTGAAGTAGGGGTACGGAGGTTGGAGAGCATGGGCTCCTGATCTGTCTTGAATGTCAAGTCTCAATGCTGTCCTTGATTATATATAATATCCAGGACTTAACACTCAACTTGTTTGCTTGGGGGTCATACCCAGTGGTGGTCGTGGGTCATTCCTGACTCTGCACTCAGGAATCACTCCTGGCAGGCTTGGGGGGTACCATATGGGGTGCGGAGATCAAGCCAGAATCAGCTGTGAACAAGGAAAATCCCTATGGGTTATATGATCACTCGAGCCCCGACACTAACTTCTCTAAGTGCCTTGCCCAATCTGTAAAATGAGGTAGTCTTTCCAATCCCAAGGAGGAGAAGGAGAAACTTTAAAGCTAGCTGGGAGAATTTACATGGCTCTGGTACACAAGTGGTCAGTAAAATGATTCTTGTTCCTTTACAAGGCGGGGCTGAGGTTCTGATTTGTCAGGAATTGAGGGGGCAGCAGCTCCGTGTCCCACCTTTCGTCCAACACGCTCCTGGCCTTGCCTCCCAGCTGTGATCAATTCACCCTTGATAACCATGACACTGTGCCAGTCTACACACCTCATGTCAGTTCACATACCTCAGTGGGAGAAGTTTTCAGAAAAAGTAAAACCTGTAACTCGGGAGGAAGCAACAACAGTATAGCCGTTAGGGCACTTGCCTTGCATGCAACCAACCCAGATTTAATTCCCAGCATCCCATATGATCCCCCAAGCCTGCCAGGAGTGATTCTTGAGTATGGAGCCAAGAGCAACTTCTAAGCACCACCAGGTATAGCACCCCCACAAAAAACAAAAAAAGCCTGATAACTTTAGGAAAAATTAATAATGACCAAGTCCCTAATCATTGATTCATATATAATTCTACCTCTAGGAATCACTGAGGAAAATACAGCTAAGATCTATGTTGAAGGGTACTCAACCTAACCCATCATTCACAGAAGAAAAAACCATAAACCAGCAAGAAATAGCCGAGTGGGTAATGTGCTTCTTGTCTTACAGTGGCTAACCTGGGTTTGATCCTGGCATCACATTAGGTTCCCCCCAAGCAGACCCTGAGAACTGCCAAGGATAGCTCAAAAATGTCAAACAAGGCTTAGAGCAATAGTACAGCAGCTAGGTCGCTTTTGCCTTTACACACAGTCAACCTGGGTTCAAGCCTCAGCACCCCACAAGATACCCTGAGTTCTGCCAGAAGTGATCTCTGGGCACAGAGTTAGAAATAAGCCCTAAGCACCACTGTGACCCCCTCCCCCCACCAAAAAAAAAATTAAACAAACAAAAAAATTAAATGGCAAATAAATACAATAAAAAAGGAAAAAAATATTAGAAAAATTAAAAGGGAAGAGAAATCACCCGAACAGTAACTTTCTCTAACTACTAAAACATGCTTGCTTCAATTAGGCCCTCTCAGCTAAATTCTTATTAAACAGTACTTTGAGAAAATTGCAGCTCAGGGGCTGGAGAGATAATACAGAGGCCTTGCCTTGCAGGCAGCCAACCCAGATCCAATCCCTGGTACTTATGGTTTCCCAAGCCCTGCTAGGAGTGATCCCTGAGTTCGTCAGGAGTAAACCCTGAGCAGGCTCGAGACATAGCACACAGCGGGTAGGGCCTTTGCCTTGCACGAGGCCGACCAGGGTTCGATTCTTCCATCTCTCTCAGAGAGCCCGGCAAGCTACTGAGAGTATTTTACCCGCTTGGCAGAGCCTGGCAAGTTCCCTGTGGTGTATTCGATATGCCAAAAACAGTAACAAGTCTCACAATGGAGACATTACTGGTGCCCACTTGAGCAAATCAATGAACAACGGGAGGACAGTGCTACAGCGCTACAATCCCTCAGCACAGTCAGGGTGTGGCCAAAAAAAGGGCAGATGAAAAAGCATCACCCAACTGTGGCCTTGTGCTACTAAGAAAAAAGAAATTTAACTGATTAATGTAGAAACAGAACAAAGACAAGTACTGTCCCCAACGAAGCATTTCAAATCTGGAAGCAGAAGTGTGCAGACAGAACTCAGACCTAAGTAATAACCTCAGAATGCAGTCCTTAGGAACATGCTTCTTTTTTTTCTTTTTGGCTGAGTCATGTCCACCAGAGCTCGGGGTGACTCCCAGCTCTGTGGTCAGGAGTCACTCCTGGCCATGCTCTGGGCCCACGTGGTTGGTGCTGAAAGCAGGGATCGGACCTGGGCCTCTCACGTGCTTTGCATGCACTCATCCCTCGGCACCATCTCTGCAGCCCTCAGCAGCACACATTTTGAGCAAAAAACGTTCTTTCTAGAAGAAGAAGCAAGGCCGGGCTGAGAAAAGGAAACAGCGACCCAAGCACAGGACGTGGACCTATGGTTTCTGCGGGCAGACACTGGCCTGTGCAGTGCTGAGGGAACTGCAGCCTTTCCTGAGAAAGCCAACTGGTGGCTTCTCTTACCTGAGCACAGCTGTTCAATCTTCGTCAGATTCAACTGCAGAGACTCATTGATCCAGGCCAGCATGTCATGTCGACTCAGATTATCACTGGTGACTGACGTTGAGTATACGTTCACTGCCATCTTCTACAGCATCAAAGGGAAAGAAAAGGGCTCATTACAGGAGGCACACGAGAGAACACGATTTCTTTCTTTCAAGAGTCCCCCAGAGCAGACCTAGTGCTGAACACTCAACGGTCTCGTTTTCTTTTTTTGTTCTGGGATTAGAACCCACAGGGGCATCAGACATGCCAAAGCATGTTCTGTTGCGGAGCTACATCCGTGGCCGACCGAACGCTCAATTGTTAGGCTGTGCTGGCTTCCCTAAGAGGCCAAAACAGAGGCGCCTCCACGGGCATGCATGGCCTGAAATCAACTGTGCTGCCACTCACTCCCCAGCTGAAAACTCAGTCCCCCACTCTAATGTGAATGGCAGAAAGCGTTAAGCTTCGAGAGCCTTGAAGTAAAGGGATAATCAACTGCTTTATGAGAATGGAGGCGGAAGCATATATAAGAACACTCCCCGTTTAGAAAAGCGCAGCACAGGCCAGAGATATAGTATGGGGGGGGGGGGGGGGAGGGTTAGGCTCTTTCCTTGCATGCAGCCAAACAGGTTTCAACTCCCAGCACACCTGTGGCTCCCTGAGCACCACCATGAACACAGAGACAGGAGTAAGCCCTGAGGGTCAAGCCGGTGTGACTCAAAAACAAACAAAAAAATTATGAAGTGGTCATCCAAGTTTACCCACTGAGATATCAATGTGTGTGCTTTGAGCCCAAATAGTACCGAGGCAAGTAAGACGCTTGTCTTGCATGTGGCCAACATAGGTTCAACCCCCAGCACCACTGTTGAGTTTTCTCACCTCAACACAACATGCGATACATATGAAACAAAACCATACACAAGAAATAAGAACGGTGGGGCTGGAGAGATAGCACAGCGGGTAGGGCATTTGCCTAGCACGTGACCGACCCGGGTTTGATTCCCAGCATCCCATATGGTCCCCTGAGCACCGTCAGGAGTAATTCCTAGTGCAGAGTCAGGAAGAACCCCTGGGCATCGCCAAATGTGACCCCCCCCCCAAAAAAAAAAAGAAATAAGAACGGTGGGCTGTTGTGAAGGCAGGCCCGTGCACAGGCCAGGTGGAGGCAGCATTCGGTAGACCATGAGCGGCCTCCCCAGTCTCTTCCAGGATGGCAGGCGAAGGATGGGCGACTGGCGGACTCCCCAGCATTGTCTGACCTCTCCCTTGCGGTGCAGTCGTAGTCATTGTTACGGCAGTAGTCTCGGTCATCAGAGTTCCATCATTCTTGTCTCCTCACAGATCCCAAAGTCTCCAAAGTCTCAGTTTTCCTCCTCATTTTCTTGTCTTCTCTTCGTTGCCGTGCTCCTTTTATCTTCTTCCTTTGTGCTCTGCTTCTGTGTATGCCATTCTGCTTTTCCTATCCATCTCTCTAGTCTCTGACTCTTGTCTCCTTGATCTCTCCTCTGGTCTCCATTTCCGGTCTCTGTCTCTCCTCTCCAGTCTCGGTAGTCTATCCTTTTCTAACTTCCGTCTTCTACTTCTAACCTTGGCATTGTGCTCTTAAGTCCTCTGTCTTCTGTCCGTGCCATTGTGCTCTGTCTCTCTCTCTCTAGTCTGCTGCCGTTGTCTTCTTCAGTCTCTGGTCTCTTCTTCTTCTGACCTCCTCTAACCCTGGGACCGGCGACCTTGGCGACCTCGTAATCTCATAATCTTCTGACTTCTCCCAACCTTCTAACCATCTGATCTGACTTCCCCAGTCCCTTACAGCATAGTTTACATAGAAATCATGTAGGGTGGGGATACAAAGGTGGTTACTCCAGGTTACTAGGAGATCTTCAAGGGCAGGATTCCATTCAGGGTGTATTGCTTTCTTCTTTCCTCAGCTAGCTATCCACTTAAATATTTGTAGTAAATTTACTTCTAATATTTCTAGCAATGTCATTTGGTATGAGCTCAGTAAGAGATATATCAAGCTTAAAGTTTGGTTCTTCCTGAGGACATCTAACTATATTTTCCAGACCACAGTCCTCAGATCAGGTTAGTCTTCCTAACCCCAGCAGGGTCCTTATTCAGTTACCTCTTTTGGGTCATGACTGAGTTTGTCCATGACCGTGCTCTTAACTTATAGTTAACTATTACGGTGCTTGGTCTGGTCCATTTCAATGCCAGGGTAGCTCACAGCCTGCCCTGAGTCTATCAGTTCCCCATCGGGACCCTGCTCTTGGACTGCTAGGAACTAAGGGCAACTGAAGCTTAAGTCAAGTAAATATGGATGCCCAGGAGTAAGTATTATTCTGGAGTCAACTTCCATGTTACACAGTATAGCATCAATTGTTTCCCTGTGTCTATATGAAAAGGACATTGCTAAATAAACCATAATAATGACAAAGGAAAGAGAAGAGTAATATAGGATTGCTAGTTGTGCCTCAGTTGCTCTGTTGTAGGGGTGGCTCAACAGACCTTAAACTCCCTGTGGGAGCAGCAAAAACAACCCAATGTTATCCAACACCACATATGGTCCCCCGAGTTCAACGGGTATGATCCCTGAGCAGAGTCAGGAATAAGGGAGTGATCCCTGCACACAGGCAAGTGTGGGCCCAAAACCAAAAAAGAATCCTCTTCCTTTCATTCTGAGCTTTTATTCTTCTCTACAGCTCTTACAGTTTTCCAAAATTTCGTTGAAGACAATGCCCCTATGTCTCATAAAATTCAGAAAGTAAGAGACTCAAAAGATTAGTAGAGGGGGAAGGAATGACAGTACAGTTGGAAGGGCATTTGCTTTGCACGCAGCCAACTCAGGTTCAATTCCCGGGATCCCATATGATCGATTCCCCAAGCACTGCCAGTGATTCCTGAGTGCAGAGCCAGGAGTAACCCCTGAGCATCAGTGGCTGTGACCCGAAAAAGAAAAAAAAATAGTAGTACAATGGGTAGGGCGCTTACCTTGCACTGACTGACCCAGGTTCAATCCCCCCATCACACATGGCCCACCCCAAGCCCCGCCAATAGTGACGCCTCAGCATTAGAGCAAGGTGTAAGCCCTGAGCACAGCTGGGTGTGGCCAGCCAATTTTTTTAGATAGAATTGAGAAAGTAAATTGAGGAAAAATAACATCACTCAGTACTTCCATGGAAAGTAAATAACCTGCACAACAAAGGCAGTGGTGGTGAGTGACCTTACTATGAACACAGCATCCTGCTATTAGTTCTCTGCTGAGCCTCCAGACTAGGAAGCAGTGGGGTGGAGGACACGTGTGAGGGCCAACTAGGCATCAAGAGTCTCAGGCACTTGCCACAGGAGCCTGACAGCTCTGCAAGTTTCAGCCATGCTCCTCAATGCACAGCAAGCAACGTGGAAGCCCTGGCCATGGGCAGTCACATGCACCTCGTTCCTCTACCCTGCACTTCACTGCCCAGCATTCAAATTCGAAGACTGTCACTGTCCTCCCGTTGTTCATCGATTTGCTCGAGCGGGCCCAGTAACGTCTCTTATCGAATACGTCACGGGTAGCTTGCCAGGCTTGCCGTGTGAGCGAAATACTCTCAGTAGCTTGCCGGGCTCTCCAAGAGGAGCGGAGGAATCAAACTTGGGCCGGCCGTGTTGGCTGCGTGCAAGGCAAACACCCTATCCACTGTGCAATTGCTCCAGCCCTTAAATCTGAAGACACAAAGTTCAAATACTACTACAGACGCCGCGGCCATCCTCATTCATACAACACATGTGGCATGAGCACTATCCTTGGGGGTGGAATCACACGAGCCGGAGAAACAAGCTACCTGTCCAGGGGCGCATACTCCAGTAGAGCAAGGCTCCTAAACATAGCTGACTCACCGCCCCACTACAGTGAAGGAAATACAAAAACAGCACCCCCATGGAAATCAACCTTAAGTGAAAACAGTGCCCACTCCTGGTATCCAAAGCTACTATTGCCCACACTCCTTCCCCTCAACCCCACTCCCGCCACAGAACCAGGATCACCTGCCGGACTTACACAGTAAGGAAAAGTGAGAAGAAAGTCTCTTTAAACAAAGGTTTGAGAGACTAGAGTGATAGTACACTGGGTAGGGCATTTGTCTTGCACATGGCTGACCCAGGTTCAATCCTCAGCATTCTATATGGTCCCCCGAGCATCACCAGGAGTAATTCCTAAGTACAGAGTCAGGGGTAACCCCTGAGCATCACTGGGTGTGACCCAAAAAGCAGAAAAATAAAGGTTTGAGGAGCTGAGGGATGGGTTGAAGAGCTGAAATATGCTTTGCATGCAGGAGGCCTGGATTTGTTTAAGTTCCCAATATCCACCCAGAGTACCATCTCCCAAGTACCACAGCCAAGAGCAGCCCCTGAACATCATAGGTGCATACCAATGGCAAGCACATGGCTTGCATGCAGGCAACCAGGCTTCAATCCCCAGCACTGAGGCAGTGGGGAGAAAGGGGGACCAAGAGGGAATAAGGCTTAACAATAAAAAACACAAATGAAGTCTAAGCTTACAACTCAGGAGGAGGCAGTCCTGTGGGGAGACTTGGGAAGGAGGCAAGAGCCCAATGAGCAAGAGGGAGGGAAGCCAGGTCGTGTCTGGTCTCTGAGGTCCATGTAAAGGAGTTTAGACTTTGTTCTCTAGCGGAGGGGTCAGCTCAGCAGCAGCGCATCTGGCTTGCATGTGAGACCCTCATATTGATGCCCAAGTCATTCCCAAATGTACTGTGTTAAGGAATCCACTGTAGAGTAGAATCACACCTTTAAGTCAGAGCTCACCTAACTGCACTGCTGGCAGAACACAAACGGGAAACAGATACTCGGGAAGATGAACTAAGAGTTGAACTAAGTGAGATCCCTGGGCAGGCCCTTCGGGGCACGCCCCTATATAACAAAACAGTTGCTGTCAGGCCAGAGTGAAAGGACACTGAGTCAGGCACTTGCACACGGCTGATCCAGGTTAGATCCCCGGCATCCCATATGGTCCCCTGAGCCCCGACAGGATGATTCCTGAGTACAGAGCCAGGGGTAACCACTGAGCACCAGTGGGTGTGGCACACAAAAAAAACAAAAATAAAAATAAATTTTAAAATATAAAACCATCACTGTCATAGGACCCTGACATTAGAAATGCTTCCTAATATTACCAATACCAAAGAGACACCACGTGACTACATGCTCCTAATGGCATTTTGCCCCCACCAGCTAGTGGTCAGGGTTAAGAGCTGCTCTGTCTTCTACTTCCCAACCTCCTGCCCGAGGCCACTGCGAATCACACAGCTAAGAATCTAGGCTCTCCCTAGCCAATCCACACTCTCAGAGGGGGATAACAAGGACAGGAAAGGTAACAACTTCTCAGGCCTGTCCCCCACACCTCCAACCCCCACGGCCCTCTGCACACAAGAGGGCCTCAGCAAATACCATTTGTTCTCAGGCTGGCAGGCTAGTGCCAAAGAGAGAACTCTACCTTGTAAACTTCTCTTCAGAAAGCAAGTCATCAACACTCTTACATTCTGAAACTCAGATAATCAGATCAGAAGCCAACACAACTCTGGTCCCCGACACCACACTGAGGAGTGTGGCCCCAGCACCACATTCAAGCCTTCACACTGATTCTCGTCTTCCTTTTGTTTTATGTTTGGGGGCCACACTGGGCAATGCTCAGGGCTTACTCCTGGCAGTGCTCAGGGGACCATACGGGATGTGTAAGGCAAACACTCTACCCGCTGTACTCACTCTCAGGTCCCTCATCTCCACTTCGGAACCTCTCCAGAGACAGATTTGGGCTGAAAGGAATTAGCCCTATGCTGAGAACAGTGGATTTCAGGCCATGAGGACCTGTTTGAACGGGAGGCTGTCACTCATTAGGTGGATGGCCCTGGGCAAGTTACTTAACTTTAATACACCTCAATTATCTCACTGAGCTAATGCCACCTATCTGAAGAGGAAAATGGGGAGGCTCAAATGAGATAAGGTACATAAAAGCTGAGCATGGTGTACCACACACAGAGGCGCAGGGAAGCAACCATCCTCTTATCTTCAGTAGCAAAAACAATTCCAGCATCCTGCCACCAATCCCTCAAACTGATCCACTCCAAATCTTCAAAATTAGTCTGAGATTGTTTCACTTTGTTCTTACACAATAGCCAGGGAAATATGTGGGCCCAGAGAGTGTGCACCAGGCGGGGCACGCATGGGGCACGCAGGAGGCCTGGGTTCCATCCCTGGCACCCACATGGTCTCCCAAGCATAGCCAGGAGAGAGCCCCCATCCAAGTACCAACCCAGAAACAGCCATCAAGTACTGCTGGGCAAGTCAACATCAACAAAATCAGGGAACACACCTCCCCCAGCTGACAGTCCCTGTGTGAAAGGCTGAAACGCTCACTGTGTATAAAATGCTCTTATCAGGTACCAGAGGAGGCACAACCAGACAGGCCGAGTCCTGAGAATCTCTTCTGGCAATACTCAAACATACACTGCGCAATGTATGTGTCCAGACACCATAAAATGAAAGCAGCTGGTCAAGCCACGTGTCTGCCGACCACACCCCAGCTCAGAGAACGTTAATGGCCTTTCATCATCATATAATTTAAAACTCTTTCATTAGCAGAACATTAATACCTGCACCATATGCGCTGCAAAACCTGCAGCCACTAAATACAGGAGGTGAGGCACCCTGTGGATGCGCAATAAACATCCCTGACTCAATCTATTAATTGGCTCTTCCAGGCAGTCAAAACAGAACCCAGTTCTCAGAGCTACAGCTACCTCCAGCTCCTCCTCAGCAAGAATTCCACTGGACAGAAGATCCCTGACCACTCGGGAGCCTCACCCTTACAGACTTCTGATTTCACAGGCCTGGGGAGATGGCTCAGGGGTTAGCATGCAGACTTTGCATATGGGAACCCCGGGTTCCATCCCTGGTCACTGCAAGGCCCCTGGTCACTGCAAGGTGCAGCCCCAAAACAAAAGGAACATCAATCCAGGTTTGTGGCTTGTTCCGGGTTTTTGTTTTTGTTTTTGTTTTGTTTTGTTGGGGGGGGGGGGGAGTTGGCATGAAAGAGGGAGGTCTGGGCCACACCCAGGCAGGGTATGGGTTTACTACAACTCTGCACTCAGGGGATCACCACTGGTGTTGCCAGGTACAGACCCAGGTCAGCCACCTGCCAGGCGAGCGCCTTACCCGCTGTCCTCTTTCTCCAGCCCTGGTCTTGACCGATTAAGTAAGGTCCCTCTAGGCTCCTCGGTGTCTCCCTGCTTCGGGCTGTCCTCGCGGGCTCCTAAGCGCAGACCGACTGAAGAATCCTGGCTGATAAACAGCCCGGTCCGCTCAGGGCACCTTCCGGAGCCCCACGGAAAAAAAGGGGATGTGACTCAGTCGGTCAGCCCTCGCCCTCCCCCTCCCCGTGAAAGGGAACGAGGTGCTGCTGAGCGCCTCGGGGACGAGCACGCCCTGACCCGGGTGCCCAAACCCCGCAGGACGGACGGACGGACGGACGGACGGCCGGACGGACGCACCACGAGGACATTCGCCTCCAGCCGGCTCTGCGCCTCGGAGCGGGAGTGGGCAGCACGGGGTGGGGGGTCACACCCCACACCCCTCCGAGTGTCAGCATCCCCATCCGCGACGTGCTCCGACACGACCCGCCCCACCCCACCCCGCCCCGCCACTGCCGCTGTCCGCGCCCCCCACGGGGGTCCACGTCCTGCTCTGCAGGCCCCGCCGCGCCCGAATACCTGTTGAACCCGGGGCCACGCTCGCGGCGCTCCCCGGCACCGAGAGGCCCCTGCCGCCCTCCCACCCGCATTGTCCCTGTTCCACCGATGACAGCGCCGAGACCCCCCCCCTACACACTCCATCCCCTCCCTCCGCCCGAGGCTCAGCAAGCACCTGCCCAAGGTCGCGGGGCCGGGGAACGCACGGCCGGGACCCCCCGCGCCCCTCCCCCTCCCCGCATCCCCCGCTACCTGCGAGCGCAGCCGGCCCGGAACCCGCCGCCGCCGCCGCCGTCGGATCCCCGCACGCCGCCGCGGCCCGGAAGCCCCCCACGCCGCCCGGGGCAGCCCCCACTTCCGGCGCAGGCCCCGCCCCCCGCGGAGCGGCCGCCGCGCGCGCCGGGTCGCGGCCCCGCCCTGGCCGCCCCCCCTCCCCGCCGCCCCACGGGCTCTCACACACTCACACGCGCGCTCCCACGCGGCCCGCGCCGAGGAGAGCGGCCGGCCCGCCGCCCCGCGCCCGCCGCCCCGCGCCCGCCGCCCCGCTCACCGGCTCGGCGGAACCGCTCCACGACGCGTGACCGGCTCCGGTTCCGTCTTCGTCTCGTTCAAACCGCCCGACCCCGCCCGCGCGCCCGCGCGATGACCTCACAGGCACCGCCCCCCGTGACGCGCCGACGTCCGGGCTCGTCAGCGGCCCCGGCGGCTCCTTTTATAGCGCGGGAGTCGGCGGCGCGCGGAGCGGGGCGGAGCCTGGCTTTCGATTGACGGCCCGGCGCCCAGTGGGGCGGGGCGGCGGCGCCTGGCGACCGGAGTCACGTGGGGCGGCGCCGCCAATGAGAGCCCTCTGCAGCCCGCTTTGGCGCTGGGACTCCGCTAAGAAGGCGGGACCCGGATACAAATTCCCCACCCCTGCAGCCAAAAATCGCCCTACAATGAAACTCGACCAACACGGGCTGTTGGATAATGAATAAAGGCATTTGACGGGTGATTGGAGGAAGCCTCAGAGACCTTCTGTGCCAGTTCATAATCACCTTTGTAATCTTACCATCCGCTTCACCTTTTTTGTTTGGACCACACCCGGCAGTACTCAGCACCTACTCTGGGCTCTGTGCTCAGGGATCACTCCTGGCTGCACTTGGCGGACCATATGCGGTGCCGGGACTTGCTGGACCATTTGCGGTGCCAGGGGTCCAACCCAGATCGGTCGCGGGCAAGGCAAGCAAGCGCCCTGGCCCCCCTCCCCTGTACGATCTCTGCAGCCTTCACGCTCCCTTCACCTTCTTTTTGACTTGTTTACACCTCTGTTACCTGCCGCTACATAAGTTCCATAAAAGCAAATACCTTTGAGTCCCGTTGGTGGCTCTATCCCACGTCATGATATATGAGTGCCCTAGAGAGTCCTGCTGTGGAAGAACCAGGCCCAGCAGATAAAGAAGAAACTAAGGCTTAGGGAAGTCAAATAGATTAGTCCAGTCTCACGGAGGCAGACCAAGGTTTCAAGTTGGTTTCCTTGTCCAGATATCCCTTACTCACATATCCAACAGATATTTTTCCCTGATTACTCAGACCTTAGCAATTTGATGGTGAGTAAGAGTGACCATAGCTTCTGAGCTCCTTAAAGTTCCCAGTCTGGGTCTGGGGAGACAGCTGACAGGACTGGAGCTAATCCCTTGCATCTGCAGGTTCTGGAGATGGATCTCCCAACTATATCAGGTCTATAATATGGGGCGAAATAGGCGTTAGCAATGCTACAAACCCTCCTCTCCAAAATTAATTGGGGTTTTTTTTTGGGGGGGGGTTACACCCAGCAATGCTCGGGGGTTACTCCTGACTCTGCACTCAGGAATTACTCCTGGCATGCTTGGGGGGACCGTATGGGATGCTGGGGATCAAACCCTGGTTGGCCACGTGCAAGGCAAACGTCCTGACCAGTGTATTATCATGCTGGCCCCAGCCCCCAGATTAATTAACGCTTAAAGTTTCCAGGAGGGAGAGTCAAAAGGGGCAGATCTAATGACACAGATCACCATTTAATAACTGCACAGTGGGTAGGGCGTTTGCCTTACACGCAGCCAACCCGGATTCAATTTCCAGCATCCCATATGGTCCCCCCGAGCACCGCCTGGAGTAATTTATCAGTGCATGAGCCAGCAGTAACCCCTGTGCACCACCAGGTGTGACCCAAAAAGAAAAAAAAAACACCATTTAATAACTGCAACACTGACCTAATGCTAGGCAGGAGTGTGACTGGAATGGCAGCACCTGCATTTTGTGGAATAGGCACCTGGCTAGCCTTTCTGGACCACGTATCCCTTAGGTAGTGATTGAAGAGAGAGAGGTGTCGATGGGAAGACTGAAAAGCGGCTCTAGGACATGAACTGGATATCCCCTAATTGGGAGGTGGGTTGCTATTTTAACAAGCATCATTGATTGTTGCTTTCCTGCTACAATACTGAGACGTCTGACCTCCGCTGAGCAGCATGGGAAGGCTTCCCAGAGAGGAAGCTCGAACTGCAGGTGAAGTGCGAAGCTGGCCAGAGGGGTGAATTGGAAACAACATTGGAGAGGAAATGGCAAATGTCATTCCATAATATCCACTGTGAGGACTGTGAGGCTATCGGGAATTGACAGAAGCATGGATATTGCAATCAATATATTCACAAGTGCTCTAAGGGAACATGTTTCACCCACCATAGAACACAGCAGAACAGGTAGTTGCCAGCAGGCCAGGTAAATTTTTCTAAGTAGCAAAACAAGCAAGTCTTGACAAGCTCAATCCTGACTTGGCTCTAAGTTAGAATTAAAAATGTGTAAAGTTCTGAAGCCACTCCCTGCCCATAGTACCTGCTCAAAACATGTCCATGATTCCAGAAGCCTTTATAATGAATAAAGGCTCAGTTTAAGTCAATATTCAGTGAACATTGGTCAGCACTGCTAAAAGGTCATTTGGGTTGATGTGAGATTTTGAGGGGTAAGGAGAGATCAGTGGAGGAAACCAAATTGGGTGTCAAAGGCTGGGAATATAGCAGTAGAGCACTTGCCTTGCATGAGTGAAGCCCTGGCTTCTACCAAGGATCAGAAGAGAGTCTGGACCTGGTTCTAGAAGCACAGGTCTTCAGAGATTTCTGAGCAAGAGCTTCCTACATAGAATCATCTATCTTCCTGGAGACCACACTGAGACCACAGAGAATGAGAAGGCCATTCAGGGTCCTCACTCCACCCTGGGAAGAGATTAGCCACAGTTTTCTGGGTCATATTGAGTTCTGACTACCAAAGTTTTGAAAAACGAAATGAAGAATTTCCACCCAACAGAAGGAATAGGTTTAGAGATTTCAAACTGTATCTTTTAGTTTGGTGTTTTGTTTCATCTGGGGGCCACACAGAGTGCTGTGGGGGGTTAGGGTTAGGGTCAGGGTTAGAATGTCCAGGATTGAACCCGGGTCCGTGGCTGCACACCCCTGAATCCCTGCACCATCTCTCCAGCCCCTTCAAGCTTTATCGTTAGTGTGACTGTTTCACTATGTGAACTGATTTAATTATCACAAAAATGGTAGTCTCTTCTCCAAAGACAAAACCCCATGACTTCAAGGCCTGAGTTTTTCTTTCATTGTTCTGCTGTTGTTATGGTTTGGGGGGTCACACCTGGTGGTACTCAAGAGTGACCCCAGCCACGCTTAGGAGACGTGCAAAAAACGTGGGATCTAAACCAGGTCTGAAGTACGGGAAGCAAATGCTTTACTTCCTGTACTATCTCCCACCCCCAAACTATGTAGTTGGTTTGGGGGCCACCACACACCATGGTGCTCAGGGTTTGCTCCTGCTGGTACTCAGGTGCAGAGGATCAAACTGGAATCTGCTTCATATAAGATAAGACTTACCCAGGTATTATTTTTCTGGCCCTCAGGACCTTAGTTTCACATATGTCTGATAAACATATTCAATTTAAAAAATGGTGTTGGAGGGGGCCAGAGTGATAGTATAGCGGGTGATGTTTACCTTGCATACAGCTGACCTGGGTTTCATCCCTAGTACCCTAAATGGTCCCCTAAGCCCTCCAGGACTGATCCCTGACTACAGATCCAGGAGTAACTCCTGAACACAGTCAGAGCAAACACAAATGGTATTGAAGAAGCCTCACAAATTCATGGAGAAAAGTACTACAAATATTATTTGTTTGGGGGGGCCTGGGAGTTTAGAGGCCATACCCAGTTATGCTCAAGAGTAACTCCTGGTGATGCATTCAGAATCATTCCTGGCAGTGCTCAAGGGATCATATGGGATGCCAGGGATCAAACCCAGGTCAGCCACGTGCACGCCAATCACCTTTACCCGCTATGTGATCTCTTTAGCTCTAAGTATTAATTATAATACTGTGCTGAGATTATTATTAATTATAATACTGTGCTGAGATTATCTTTATTTTCATCAAGGAAGACTCAAATTAGGGGTGGCTCCTAATCTCACCTAGAATTGGGGACAAAAAAGGCTTCCTGGAAGAACTGAGACCTACCCAGCCATGGCGCGAAGGCTGTAGCAGGCAGATAACAGCGAACACAAAGCCTTTACCACATCCAGTGCAATCCGCCTGCTCGGGACCACACTGAGAGGGTCAGTGTGAATGAAGCTCAGAGAGCACCTGTGGGTTCTGGCACCAGCCCTTCCTGCACTGCTGTTTGCAGGTTTCAATTAAAAATCTGAAAAATAACCAGATGCAATAAGTGATTCTGAAATGAGCACTTGAACAAAAATATAAATTTCTTCCTCTATTGAGACATTCTTTGGGGCAACTGGGAAAATGCACATTGAAGAGACGGCATATTTGCAGTTCACTCTCAAACACTTCCAAGTAGCTGGAGCAACAGCACAGCGGGTAGAGTTGGCCTTGCATGTGGCCAACCTGGGTTCCATTCCCCTGTATCGCATACGGTCATCCTGAGCACCGCCAGGAGGAATTCCTGAGTGCAGAGCCAGGAGTAATCACTGAGCATGGCCAAGTGTGATTCCCAACCCCCCCTGAAAAAGCCCCCCCAAAATCAAATAATAACAGGAAAGGGAGGATGAGCAAATAAATGAGTACAATGTTAACATCTAGGAACGTGAATCATGAATGAACACTTTGTCCTTTTCTTGCAGCTTTTCTTTTTTCCTCTTTTTGGAGTTGGGGGGTGCAGTTCGGGTCACACCAGGGGCTTCTCCTGACTCTACACTCAAGGAATCCTCCCGGCAGTGCTCAGGGGACAATATGAGATGCTGAGATCGAACCTGGCTCGGTTCGACTTGACCATATGCAAGGCGAGCACCTTACCAACTATACTATCTCTCTGACCCCATTCTTGCAACTGAGCCTGACATTTTTGGTTTTGTTTTGAGGCCATACTCAGTTGGCTGTGCTTGGGTGGAACCTGGGGCTCCCATATGTCAAGAATGTACTCAGCCCATTGAGATAATCTCTCTGGCCTCTGAAATTTTTTCCTGTGGGGTTGGAGTAGTAGTACAGTGGCTAGGGTGCTTACCCTGCACAGAGCCAGCCCAGAATGGATCCCGGACTCCCATACGGTCCCCCAAATCTACCAGGAGTGATCCCTGAGTGCAAACCCTGAGCACTGCAGGGTGTAGTTCCAAACCAAAAAAATAAAATGAAATTGTTTTTGTGTTTGGGGGGTTTGAGGCGACAGCCACTGGTGCTCA